CACAAACACTGATCCTCCAGCAGCCCCGCCTGCCTGGGGGCGCTCTTGGCGACTGCTCTCTCCGCTGTGTTCCCTCCAGGTTTTCCAATGCTCCCTGCGGTTAAACTTTGTCTGCCGTCTTTAAAAGACCCGACTGCTCGGAAAAGGCAAATTTTAACGGCGCGATGGAGGGAGGATTGAAAAACGAGCTGAGACGATGGGGGCTTCGCATCCTTGAGCCCGCCATCGCGACGAATCGACAAGGGGGGGGTGGTGGGAAAAGACGAGCCATCACCCCCCACCCCCCCGCCGTGAATTGGCTCCGCGGGTGGGCGTGACCCCCGCGTGGCGGTCCGGCCCACTCGCTCTTCAACAGCAAAACAGACGGAAAATTCAAATCGGATTTCAAACGTGAAAGCGGAAACATAAGACGACGAAAAAAAAATATCTTTTGTACATATATTTGGTGTAAATAATTGAAATAAAATGAAATTATTTTTATCCAAAACACAAACAAATGTGTGTGAGTTTATTTGGGTATTGCCTTTCTTTCAAAAATTATACAGCGCCTTTCATCACAAAGGATCCCAAAGTGCTTTACGTAGAGAGGTGTCTGTCTACTGAGGTGCTGCCCCACCTGGGAGACGCACAGAGACAGCTCTGCCCCAGCAGCCCCACCTGGGAGACGCACAGAGACAGTTCTGCCCCAGCAGCCCCACCTGGGAGACGCACAGAGACAGCTCTGCCCCAGCAGCCCCACCTGGGAGACGCACAGAGACAGATACGGAGTCCATACAAAAATACAAAACTTTTAGCAGTGCTCTGCGTTTCCTTTACAATGACAGAAGATACATACTGTATATAATAGCTATGTTTGATATTCTTGTTATGGCTTTTGAAAGTGCACAGTACTCAAACACCCTGTCTGTGGTGTGCGGGACAGGCGTTGTGTCCCAGTAGCATCACTGAGTCCAGGCCTGGACAGCTCCGGACAGCTCCGGACAGCTGGGACGACCCTCCTCTCTCACAGGGTCCCCAGCTCCTCCAGGCGGGTCGCGGCCTGGTCCAGCGCGGACAGGATCTCGGCGCCGTCCAGCAGGCTGGACGCTGGGCCCAGGGGGGCATTAACCTCGCACTCCCAGGGGCTCAGAACCGGCAGCACCCGGCTCACCCCGGTCACCCCGCCTGGGAGAGAGGAGAAAGAGACAGAGACTGGAACACTCACAAGCGCAGCACGCCGGCCTGCCTCAGGGCCCCACGCAGGAGAGACACAGCAGCTGTGTGTGTGAGCAGGGGAAGAGACAGCACAGAGGGAACCTCAGAGCCCACAGCCTGGACACTTGGCACAGCCAGCAGCCCTGCCTGCCCAAAATTAATCTCATCCCAGAGTTCCCCCGCCTGCCAGGATCGTCACAGCTCCCAATCCTACTGGGAGGGGGAGGAGGGAACTCAGTGGAACTGGCAGCCCAGT